GCTGGGCGCGGCGGTCGGGGAGCGAGTGCCAGGTACGCCGGGGGCGGGGCCCGGGCTGGGCGGAAGGCCGCGGGGGCCCGGGGAGCCTCTCACCGGGGATCGGGGAGTCGGCATTGCGGACCCAGAGAACGAGGCCGAACTGGGGGGAACTAGGCGGACACGGGGATTCGGGGTTAGGTGGTTTCCAGACACCGCGCTCCCTGGCCAGGAGAGGTTCATCCCACTCCGAACTTCATCCGCAGTCCCAGCCTCAGTTTCCCCCCTGTTCAAATGGAGGGGCGGCTTCTGTCCTAGTAAGTCCAGACTCGGAAGTAGAGGGAGAAAGTTTGAGGGCGGGATGTCTCCTTCGGTGAGAAGGCACGCCTCCATCCTGCTCAGTACCTGGTCTGTCTGGCCCCAGTGACCGAAGAGTCTCGGGGGGGGGTATCGAGGGCACGGGGGTCTGTACCCTCTATACCATGTGGGGTGCCCCCTTCCATCCGGTGACTTCAGTGCCCAGCTATGCGGGGGGAGGGACTGGGGTCGGGCCCGGTGCCCAGGAGTGAGTCACCCGCCGGCTGCGGGGGGTGGTGGTGTGGGGACCTGATACCCCCCCCACAGCGTCCCGCGCTAGGCCCCCCTTGCCCCCACGCTGCTGAGTCCCGGTCGGGCCGTGCGGTCACCTGTGAGGAATGCGGGGGGAGGGCGCCGGTGACTCACGTTATTCGAGCCGGCCGACCCTGACCTCAGCCCCCAGAATAGCCGTGCCCCGCCCCAGCCTCTGACCCGCGGCCCCCTCCCCAGGCACCACCCCCTGCTCTCGCGGCAGCTCCTGGAGCGCGGACCTCGACAAGTGCATGGACTGCGCGTCGTGCCCGGCGCGACCGCACAGCGACTTCTGCCTGGGCTGTGAGTGGGGAGGGGGGGAGAGGGACCAGGGGCGAGCGGACCCCAGAGTCGGAGAGAGTTTGCGGGGGTGGAGAGGGGAGCAGTGGGCTTCAGATCTGGGGAATTAATCAGGAAGGGGGGTGGGAGTTGGGGTGGGGAAGGGATCGGATCAGGGCAGGGGCCAAGGTGGGGGAAAGGCTTGGGGCTCAGATCTAGGGGGCGGGGCTAGTACCGAAAGGGGCGAGGTCTAACTTGGAGTCCTGCCCCCAGGCGCTGCGGCCCCTCCAGCCTCCTTCCCACTGCTGTGGCCCATCTTGGGGGGTGCTCTGAGCCTAGCTCTCGTGCTGGGACTGCTTTCTGGCTTCTTGGTCTGGAGACGGTGCCGCAGGAGAGAGAAGTTTACTAGTAAGTGAGCCAGGCCCGCCCACCCCCCCAACCATTCCTCAACATCTCCCCTGCTCTTGACCACGCCTCTTCTTATTTTGCAGCCCCCATCGAGGAGACCGGCGGGGAGGGCTGTCCTGGTGTGGCACTGATCCAGTGACAGTGAGAGCCCTTGCCAGCAGGAGGCCCCACCCACTCACCATTCATTCATTCATTCATTCATTCTGGAGCCCGCTCCCTCACCCGAGACAGCCAGAGCCAGACTCTTCCAACCACAGGGGTGTGGAGGGATGGGGGACTGGTGAATCAGCTCTCCGAGGCCTGGGCCCAGGCTTCAGAGGAGCCTTCCAAGGTGTCTGACTGCCCTGTCTCTGGCTCCAGGACAGGAAAGGAGACCCACGCGGGCTCACACCAGACAGCTGACACTAAGGAACCGCAGCATTTGCACAAGGCGTCCCTCCCTCCACCCCCATGGCCTGAGGGCCAGACAACACCAGGCCCCACCCACTCAGATGTACTGAAATTCCACCATGGGGTCTCTGTCTGGGGGGTTAGGGACCTGTTGCTAACACTAGGGGGCTGGCCCTCTAGGGGGGCTGGCCCTAAGACACTGTCCCCCCCAACCCCCAAAGGGGGGGAAATATTTATTTTGGGGAGTTTGGAAGGGCGGGAGAATTTATTAATAAAAGAATCTTTAACTTTAAATGGTTCGGAGAGTGGCATGATCCCCAGCCCAACTTCCCAGAGCTGGAGGGAGGAGTGAGTCAGCCGCGGGGGTGGGGGTGAGGCTCTGACTCACACATTCTCAATGCCTGAGCCCAGCCTGCCAGGACCTGGCCAGGCCCCTGACCGTTTTTTCCAGGGAAGATTCTGAGAAACCGCAAGCATCCAGCGCCCCAGCCTTCCCACCTTCCTTCCCAAAGGCCTCAGGGTTCCAGACTGAAGCCTTCATTTGCTCAGCAATCTTTATTCAGTTCTGGGGGGAATGCCTCCCTTCCCATGCTCCTGTCCCTCCTGCCCCTCCCTCCCCAGGGCTCTGTGGGATTCAGTGTCTTCCTCTGTAGAGGGTAGGTCCTGGAGCCCAGAGGCCTAGTCTGGAGAATATTTAGGACAGCTGGTCCCTCAGGAGGGATGCTGGTCTTCTCTGTTGTGGGGAAGAAGGAAGGTGGGCAGAAATACTGCCCACCAGCACTCAGAGCTCCATTATCTCTCCAGCTTGGGTGGCAGGGTAGTGGGGGGTGGGGGTGTCCCCTAGCCTCAGCAGCCGGAGGGCCTCAGGGATCAGGTTCCCAGGGTAGCGCCAGAGAAGCAGCTCAGAGCAAGGGCTCCTGGAAAAGGAAATAACAGCATGGGGCTGAGGCTGGCCTGGAAGAGCCACCTCCCACCAGGTCCAGGTCCCCAAGAGCTCTTGGGCTGCCAGCACCTTCCAAGGAGCCAAGACGGGAAACAACAGAGGTTGGCTAGAAGCTAAAAATAGCAGGATGAGGCAGGGCCTAGAGACTGGCTCCAAGATGGGGTGTGATCCTCCAGAAGGCCCAGGCGGTGGATGGTGCCTACCTGAGTGGGGGCAGAGATGGGGGGAAAGCCATGGGGGTGCTGCAGTAAGGGTGGTCATTGTGCAGGCTGAGTCGAGAGAAGTGGGTGGCCATGTTCTCTTCAGAAAGGAACTGTTTTCGCAAGGGCTCCCTGGGGAGAGACAGAAAAAAGGCAGGCTGGGATATTCACATTGGTGGCAGTCTGATGGGGACCTAATGTGACAGAGGTCTTGGGAGTCCCTCCCTGCCCCCAAACTCACTGCTCCTCCTCCAGGCGCCGCTTGGTGCTCATGGGCACAGCTCCTCGGAGAGGGGAGCTGGGAAGAAAAGAAAGCCAGGTGCACTCCACCCTCTTGGCCCCATCCCCAGGATCTGCTCTCCAGTGCCTGCAGTGTAAGCCAGGAAGTCCCCAGACCACCCGTCTCAGCTGACACCTAAGTCACCCCATCTCCCAGCCTAGCCAGCAGCCTGCCTCAGAACTCTCAGCCGAGTCTCAGCTTATGCCCAAGCCCTGCCGACTCGCCCCACCGCGTGTCATCTTGCAGACCAGCCCCGAGCCCACAGCCAAAGCTCCTGGGCCCCTGGGCCAGGCCCACCCAGTGCCCTTACACACACCTCACGTCCTGGGCTCGGGGCGTCCCTGACGCGGCCCGTGGGTCGCGCTGGGCCCGACCTGGGGGGCCTCGTTCCAGGGGCTTCTGCAGGATCATTTGGGTTCGGGGTCCTGCAGGCAGAGGGTGGGATCCGGCCGACAGGGCGGAGCCTCAGAGGGCGTGGTCCAGCGCGAGGGGCGTGGTTTTAGGCGCGCGCGGCGGCGAGGTTCTGCGCAGGCGCGGAAGGCGAGCGACGCGGGGCTAGAAGGCCGGTGGGCTCGGCGAGGTGGGGGAGGGGATCTGGAGTAGCGGGGCTGCGGTGGGAGCTACTTCTTGTTGGCGATCTTCACGGCGGTCACCTCGGATCCTGAGGCTCTGGGTAATACTCGGCGGCCGCCTTCGCGCCGGGACGGCTGGCGGTGTTGGGGCTGTGCGGTGCCCCAAAGGGGAACCGCTCGCGGGCACGTCCAGACGCGTGAAGCTGCGTCGCGCTGAGCACTCTGGGATTTGTAGTTCTCCACATGGAGCGAGCTGTGCCATACGCTGTACCTCTGGGTCAGGTGAGGCGGGCGTGGTGCGCGGTGCATTCTGGGGTTTGTAGTCCATGCCCCGTTCGGAAGGGGCGGCAAGGAGTCGTGCCCTGAGCTCTGTTTTGCGTGGGACTCGGACTGTGACCCGGGAGCGGGAGGGTAACGCAGCAAGACCTTAGGGGCCTAACGTGAAAGTAGGAGGGTAGGGATTAGAAGTCAGTATGTTTTTCTGTACTGGAGTAATGGAGCCACTTTTTAAGCGCTTATTATGAGGCAGCTGTATGCGAAGCTCGATACAGGAGCTCAGACACCTGTGACAGTCTCCCGTGAGCTCCATTTGACACTTGAGGAACCTTGGAGGCCAGGCTGGGTGCTTGCTCAAGGTCCCGGTAGACGTCATGCCTCAGGTGCCCGCTTCCTCACCCTGTTCTTGGAGCAAGCCCTGGGACTCAATGGGCAGGCACCCACTTGGTGGTCCGCCTCAAAGGATGGCTGAGCGATCTGGGCAGTGAGAGGCCGGACAGGCGGCAGGGGAAGCAGGAGGGAGTCTGACTCGCAGGTCCTAGATGTCCCAGGTAGCCTCCATGCAGCCTCTCCCCACAGATGGAAGTGTTTCAGGCCCTGCAGCGGCTCCACATGACCATTTTCTCCCAGAGTGTCTCACCCTGCGGGAAGTTCCTGGCAGCTGGCAACAATTATGGGCAGATAGCCATCTTCAGGTACCCTCACCCCTGCTCCCACCACCTGGTAGCTCTAGCACTTGTACCCCCTGGGACTGATGCCCCCTGCTTCTGACTCTCAGGCTGCCCTCCCCTCTCCCTTTAGCTTGTCTGCTGCTTTGAGCTCTGAGGCCAAAGAAGAAAGTAAGAAGCCTGTGGTCACATTCCAAGGTGGGTGCAGCCATTGAGTCTGGCTTAGAGAACCCCCGGGTAGGGGAGGGGAACAGGACAGGGTCACTCAGGTCCTGCATTTCCATCTAGCCCATGATGGACCCGTCTACAGCATGGTCTCCACTGATCGACATCTGCTCAGTGCTGGGGATGGGGAGGTGAAGGCCTGGCTTTGGGCAGAGATCCTCAAGAAGGTAAGGAGTGTGGAACTGGGGGACGGGCTGGGGTTCCTGGTCCCAGAGAGCCTCTGACATGATCCAGTGTTTCCCTCCATGAAGGGCTGTAAGGAGCTGTGGCGGCGTCAGCCCCCATACAGGTGAGCTAGGGCCATGTGGGCAGAAGGTACTTGGGGGTGAAGGTACCGCCTCATCAGAGCTGACCTCGCTTTCTCTCTCCCAGGACCAGCCTAGAAGTGCCTGAGATCAATGCTTTGCTTCTCGTCCCCAAGGTCTGATCCCTTTGTGACTGGGGCTCTACTCTGCCCTGTTCTTGGTCCAAACTTAAAAGCCTTTCCCCTGTTCCTGTCCTGATTCGACATTGACTTGTGATTCCACCTTGCCTTCTTCTGTAGGAGAATTCTCTCATTCTGGCAGGGGGAGACTGTCAGTTGCATACGATGGACCTCGAGACTGGGGCCTTCACAGTGAGCAAGCCATGGAGCTGGGGTGGTCAGGGCTGGATGGGAGTAGGGGCATTCTTCCTGGATCTCCTCCTGACAGCGGCCCTCCTCCTGCAGCGGGCCCTCCGGGGCCACATGGACTATATCCACTGCCTGGCACTGCGGGAGCGGAGCCCTGAAGTGCTGTCGGGTGGCGAGGATGGAGCCGTGAGACTTTGGGGTAAGTTAGTGTCCGGTTGGAGGGAAAGATGAGATGGCGGCGAGGGAGATTGGGGCCAGCCGGGCTCTTCTCATGGTTCTTTCCCCACAGACCTCCGCACAGCCAAGGAAGTCCAGACCATCGAGGTGTATAAGCATGAGGTGAGGGCACGCCCCATGCCCTGTCCTCCCTTCCACCTTCCTAGGCATCCCCTGTATCTTCATCTCCTTCTCTCTTCCCGTCCTTTCCCCTAGGAGTGCTCGAGACCCCACAATGGGCGTTGGATCGGATGTTTGGCAACTGACTCAGACTGGATGGTGAGCAGGGCGAGGTGTAGAATGGGGTGACCGCTCCGGGCCCTGCCAGATGAGGGCCTGAGCTTACAGTGGCTGGGGATCCCCACCTTTCTGCCCAGGTCTGTGGAGGCGGCCCAGCACTCACCCTCTGGCACCTCCGATCCTCCACACCCACCACCATTTTCCCCATGCGGGCGCCACAGAAACACGTCACCTTCTACCAGGACCTGGTGAGGCCCTCTGTCTTGCTTCTGCCACCTTTGCCCAGTTCCCCTCTCCAGTCCTGACCCCCGACCCCCCTCCTTGCCCTCCACAGATTCTGTCTGCTGGCCAGGGCCGCTGTGTCAACCAGTGGCAGCTGAGTGGGGAGCTCAAGGCCCAGGTGCCTGGCTCCTCCCCAGGGCTGCTTAGCCTCAGTCTCAACCAGCAGCCAGCAGCACCCGAGTGCAAGGTGGGTTCTGCAAGGGGCTGCGGGGGTCCGGGGGGCCACATATGTGGACAGGCCAGTCACCCCTGTCTTGCCTCCAGGTCCTGACAGCTGCAGGTAACAGCTGCCGGGTGGATGTCTTCACCAATCTGGGCTACCGCGCCTTCTCCTTGTCCTTCTGACCTCTGGCAACACCTCTTCCATCCCAGGGATTTGGAGTGCTTTTTTCTTTCTTTTTTTTTTAATAAATAAATTTTCAGGCTATTTTCCCATTCATGTTCTTCCCAAGAATGGAGGCCAAGTCGGTGTAATGATTTTTATATATTACTCTGTTTGATCTTGATACATAAATACCCACCCCCATCTCTGCCCTGGAGCATGGCAGACCCAGGGTGCTTAGAAAATATAGGTCTATATAGATTGAAAACTCAGCTCTGCCTCACCTGCCCCGCCACCCACCTGGGGCCCTTGGCCCCCAAAGCTGGCCCCTGCTCCCATTGAGCCTTTGCCCAGCTTCCCGGGGCGGGGAGGGCACCCCCTCTGGAAGACAATCAGGGCCCTGGTGCTACACTGGCCAGAAGAGGAAAGTGAACCAGAGGGCATGGGCGGCCTCCTTCGCCCAGCCTTCAGGTCCTTCGGAAGAGATTGCTCAGGAAGCCGCCGGCGGACCCAGGGCCCAGGCGCAGCGAGAAGCGCGGTGCGGCGCGACGCGGGGCAGATCCGGCCGCACTCAGCTCCTTCTGGCGCTGCGAGCGCAGCTGCTTGCCGATCACCACCTGCATGTCGTCCTGCGGGCCCGGCAGCCGGCGGGAGGAGGCGGGGTGGTCAGCGCACTGGCCCCGCCCCTTCCGGCTCCCGCTGCCTCAGGCCCCCGCCCCTCACCTGCCAGGCCTCCAGCTCTTGCGTCAGCGCCACCTTCTGGCGGATAGTGCGAAGCAGCTCCCGGGAGAGCGAGTCCCGCTCCAGAGAGACGCGGCTGAGCTCCAGGGACAGTTCCAGCGCCCTGCAGGCAAGAGGGGCAGAGAGTGGGTCCTAGGGCGCTCGGGCCTCAGCGAGCGGGGGTGGCGGGACGCTGCGGGACCCGGACGGGAGTAGTGCCGCTAACACCGGACGCAAGGTTGGAGGGCTCCTGGTGGGTGGGGATAATTATATCACGTGTGGGGGAATCGAAGGCCTAGGGTGCCCTGTAGTCCCACTGGGGCTATGGTGGATGGTGGGAGAAGCTCACTTGTTCACAGCTTCATCCCGATCCGAGAGGGCGCCGCTAAGGGCCTCCTCGGGGTCCTCCTGTGTCCGCAGCTCCTTCTGCCTCTGCAGCTCCTCCCGCAGGGACTGTAACTCTGCCCGCTGCAGCGTGATCTGTGGGCAGGGGAAGGTGAAGAGAGGCTGGTAGGCCTCTAGATCTCCCAGCAGCCAGGGCTTCGGGTCTCTAGGCCCTCCCCTGCCTGCTCCACAAACACTCGGGGCAGCGGCGGCCTGTGCTGGAGATGAATCTTCTGAGCCCCCAGGCTGGTGCAGGATGGGGTGGGGGCAGAGCCGGATGGGTGGTATAAGCCTGCAGAAAGGATGCTGGGGGAAGCACTAGGAGGTGGGACAAAGGAAGGGAATGCGGCCCAGGAAGACTTCCTGGAAGAGGTGGCGTATAGGCTGGTTTCTGAAGCATGACTACAAGTTTGTTGGGATGAAGATAGATCCAGGTAGAGGGGGAATTAGTGCGCAAAATCTCAGAGGTGTAGATGGGCAAGAGAAACTGGCCTTGGGAGGGGGTCTACATCCAGCGCTATGCTCCCACTCCCACACCTCATCTTGCAGTCGGGCCACTTCGGCCTCCTTCTCCTCTAGTATCTCCCCTGGCCTTAGAGATGCTCGCTTCTTGGGAGGCTCCAGGCTCTCCTCTTGGGGTGAAGGCTGGTGGCTGAACGCCTCTTGGATCTCAGGGGACCAAGTGTTCTGTTCGCCAAAGGAATCGGTCAGTGAGGTGTCGGACCTCCTGGGAAAAGGAAGAGGGGCGGAGTCTGCATGGCACGTGGGGGCTAGTGGGCCGCGAGCTCACCGGGGCGTCCCTGCGTCCGTCCGCTTTCTGGTCCTGGTCGCCATCGAAGCTATGAGCAAGCTCCGACTGCAGTGAGGCTACCGACACGTCGGCGTCCTGAAGGCGCGACTCCTCCTCCAGCTCCGAGACGCGCCTCTGCAGCCTCCGCAGCGCGCTCAATGCCTCCCCGGACTCGGAGCGCGCGCGTTCCAGCTGCGGAGGGACAGGAGGGACAGACAGAAGGACAGAAGCGTGGGCAGTCAGCCAGGTGCGCCGGGCGCCTTCATCCCGCCGCCGGCCTACAGGGGGCGCCGGCGCGCCACCCAGAGCCAGGCAGTCCTGCTTGTCGGAGCACCCCAGGGATCCTGCTCCCACCGCCAGATCGCTGGGCGGCCTTGGGCCGCGCAGTTCCCTCGGCAGATACCAACTTCCTCGTCTATAAAGCAGGGCGCGGACAGGTGCCCTGGCTTTAAAGTTTCCCATCACCCTCCCTCCAGCCCCACCCCATCAGGTCACCTGGCGGAGCCCCGCCCCCTTCCCCGACCGGTCGGCCTGCTACTCGTTAATGCCGTCATCCAGCGTTTATTGATCCTTCCTTCTAAGCCCGCGCTGTGCTGAGTGCCTCACCCTCACCGCGGCTCTCTACCATTCCGATCCCCTCTCACAGACAAGGAAATTGAGGCTGGGCGTCCCACAATAGTAGGAAGGGGTGTTGGGTAAGGGCCCACGTTATTTCACCACAAAGTGCAAGATTCTAAGATCTCAAACATCAGGCCATGCTGCCTCTTGTCATTTCCTTTTGTCCATCTCCACTGCCCCAGACCTGGTCCAAGCCCCCGTCATCTCTGGCTTCGGCCTACCCCCTGGCCTCCTAACTGCCAGACTCTAAAGGCAGACCACCCCTGCTCAGTCACCTTCCTAGGCTCCCACTTGCCCTTGGGCTAATGCCCGTGCTCTCTTGGCCCAGCTTCTGGGGCTCCCCGGGATCCCTCTCTGGCCTCATTTCCCAGGAAGCCCCGAGGCAGTGGCCCATGCCCTGGCCAGATGCACCCCCCTGCCCTCACCTCCAGGCTATGCTCCCGCTTCTCCCGCCTCAGTAGCAGCAGCTCCTCGTGGGTGGCCTGTAGCCTGCCCTGGCCCTTCTCCACCTCCTCACGCAGGCGTCGGATCTGGGCCTCCAGGTCCTGCCGGCGGCTCTGCAGCATCTGGTTCTGGGGAGAGACTTCAGAGCTGGAGGGGAGGTGCTGGGCCAGCCCCGGATCACCCCCAGCTCCAGCTGGCTCTCACCTCCCCCTGCAGACTCTCCAGCCGCGTCCTCAGCTCTGCTCCTGCCAGGACCTGAGCCTGGCACTGCCCCCGAAGGCCATCCAGTTCTCTCTGAAGCTCGTGCTCGGTCTGCGAGGCCTGTGGGGGGTGGGGGGGGAAGACAGTGGAGCCCTCAGCTGGCCTTAAGCCTTGACCCCAAGCCCAGTGCACCAACCCCCACACTGGGACACAGGCATCCGCCCTCATTCTGCCAGGGACACAGGGTCGGTTCTCCCACCTGGGCCAGCTGCTGGCTGAGCCGGAGGTTCTGCTCGCTGAGCTCACTGAGGGCCCGCGCCCGCTCACGCCCACTGCCCTGCTGCTCGGCGCGCTGCTCTCCCAGCTGGGCCCGCAGGGCCTCCACGTCCCCCTCCAGCTCCACAGCTCTGGCCTCCCATTCTGCGCCCCGCGCTGCCAGGCCCCGGCGGAGCTCATGGTTCTCCTGCTGCAGCCGCTGTGGGGGCCGGGACAGAGGGGGTGAGGCTGGAGTGAACACACACACAGATGCAAAAGGGGTCCGGGCGGGTCTGAGACAGGCGTGGAAGCAAGAGGGAGAAGCAGGCAGAGAGTGAAAACCAGAGCCTTGGAGGCGAGGGGGAGTGGAGAGGTTTCCAGGTCAGGCAGGAGGAGCTGACCTGGGACCAGAGGAGAGTGGGGCTCCCTGATGGCCGCTCACCTCTGTCTGCTGCCTGGGCTTCTGGACCCGAAGTCGCAGGCGCCGTTTTTGGCGCCTGAGTCTGGCAGAATTTAAGCCCCGGCCCATGGCCTTGCCAACTGATGTTCCAGGAGCTTTGGAGGTTCAACCTCTGCTCAGCCCCTCTCCCCCAGCTCCTCTCGGCCAGCTCCCTCTAATTAACCCTGGCCAGCCCCGCCTGGGCCCTGCGCCTCTGCATGCCCTCCCCAAAACCTGTCCAACCAGCAGGGGGACGCTCTTGGCACACCCAGGTGCCCAGCTTGGGGAGGCAGGCAAGTCGGGGGGCCAGCTTCTCGCCCCCACTCTCTATAAACTCGCAAAGCAGGAAGGCGGTGCTAACCATATGCTGCTCCAAATACCAGCAGGTACTCCTGCCGGGCCCTGTGCTAGCGCTTTCCTGGTACCATTTCATTTAATCAACCACAGTTAGAATTGTTAATGTACTTATTTTATATATGAGTAATCTGGGGCTCAGAGAAGTTAAATGCCTGGCCCAAGGACACACAGTAAATCAGTGAGGCAGGGATTCCAACCCAGGTGGCCAAACTCTTAACCAAATATTGTGGGGGCAACACAGCTCTCGGATTAAATCCCCAGGTTCAGGGTCCAATTGTCTTGGCTGGCGCCCTGCTCTGCTGCTGCTTTGTGATTGAACAAGTCCCTTAATACCTCTGGGTTCCAGGCACCTAGCCATCCGTCCAGTACTTTCTGAGCTCCTCCCGTTGTGGGGTCTGGCTATGTGCAGTACGCGAGACCACCAAGTTCCCAGCCTCCAGCAGCTTAAACTCCAGAGAGTCACAGGCAAACGGACACATGCTCGAACTTGGTCATTTCAGAGGGAATGTTAGGGCTGTAAAGAAACTCTGATGAAGAAGAGTGGGGTACGTTGGGGGGTCCTTTAAAGAGAAAGTGATGTTTGAATTCACACCTAAAGCGTAGGAAGGAAGAGGGCTACACCAAGGATCTGCAGGTGCAAAGGTCCTGAGGGAACACACGTGGGTTACTCAAGGAACTGAAAAGAGGTCCTAGGGGAGGATGGCTGTGTGGCCGGCTGAGGCCCTCGCGCGGGGACTTTCGGGCCCTGGTGAAGAGTCTCAGTGTCATTTTAAGTGTGATGGCGAGCCGTTGGGGGATTTTAGGCAAGGACTGAAATGATCCGATTTGCAATTCTTGAAGATCCCTCTGGCTGCCCTAGAATGGAGCATGGAGAATGGGCTGCCAGGGGCGGGAGTGGAAGCTGCAGATGAGTGAGGAGGCGGCTGTGGGGCTGGGGCAGAGGTGCTGTTGGCTGCGGCCAGCTGGGAGGCTGCAGAGTCCACGGGAAGTGGGTGGATTCGAGATCTAGTTTAGAGGTGAAATCCACAGGGCTTGCACACGTGGGAGAAGAGAGGTCATGAGATGCTCGGGCTCTGGTCCTGAGAAGATGGGAAGCCAGGATGAGGACCACCAGTGATGGGGTCAGAGTCAAGAGTGCCACTTATGTTGAGATGCCCATTAGGTGGCCTGGGGAGGAAGTGAGGGGCATAAACTCCCCATCTCGGGGACAGTGGTTGGGGTTATACGGATGCTGGAGTCAGTGGTGTCCAGGGTGTCTACGGGGCCAGATGTGACCCTTGGAATGACTGTGTGACTGAGGACAGCCTGGGCAGAGGGAGGAATTCTTCTACTTCCCAGGATTAGGCGAGAATTGATGGAGATAATGCACGGAAAGGGCTGAGCCCAGAGCAAGGCAGGGAGGAGAAACCCGATAACTCCTGGCTGGGCTTGCGCTATCCTCTCGAGGAGCCAGACCCAAGATTCAGAGAAGGCCAGTGGCTGGCCCAGGGTCACACAGCCAGGCAGAGGTCTAAACCCAGATCTCGACTTGTCCTCAGAGCCCCTGTTCTTAACTGCCAGCAAGACTGGGCCATCCCCCTGCCTGGCTTTCCTCCCCCTGCCCACCTGCCTCCCACCTGCCCGCCCACCTGGACCCTCCTACCTGTCCTCCGTCTGCTCACCCTGTCCCCTGTCCCACCCCTGCCCTGTGCCACCAGCTCACTTCCTCACGCTCAGAGTGCTGGGCGCTCAGTGTCTCCAGCTGCCGCTGTAGCTCCTCATTGCGCTCCAGGAGCATCTTGCCAAGCTCTGCGGCCAACAGCAGGTCCTTCTCCTTCTGCTGCAGCTGTAGGGCCAGGTCCTCAGGCTCCTCGGGCCCTGGGCCCCCTCCCAGGAATGAGTCCCGCCTTTCCAGCACAAAGGGGAAGAAGCCCTCATTGCCACTGGGGGAGGCACCTCCAGAGAGCAGCCCCGACAGGAAGCTTGGTCCTTGTGGGGAGCTCATGGCGCCTGCAGCATCTGTGGGCACAGGTGCGTCAGTGGGGAGAGGCAGCTGCCGCACACTCTGTTCTGCAGCCCATTGGGACTTGCCCCCTGCTGGTCAACATCTGGCCCTCTCAGTCCTGCAGCCAAAGCCTCCCTGGGCCATGCAGGGTTAATGATCTGTGTCTTGGCCACCCAGCTCCGTTAATGTCCCCAGGGTAAACTGAGGCAGGGAGCACAAGGAAATGAGCTGCCGTTGCCCCAGTGCCCCAGGACCGCAGGTGCCCCCCACTACTGACAGTGCCCCCCACGGCCCACACCTTAGCTGTTCTGGCTCCCAGTCCCTCACCAGCTGGGAAACTCTTCCTAGAACACAAGTTCTAAGAGACTCAGGACTCAAGATGAGCTCAGTCCCTTCCCCTCCCAAGAATACAGGCCTTGGGAATTTAGGTGTGCGGACCCCTCCTCTTTGAGAAGCCCAGGTCCCTGGCCCCCTGCCCTCCCAGGTATCCTGGTCCGTTTTCCTCTTTTCTCAAGATCCAAGTGTTTTGGTCCCCTTGGAACTCAGGTGCCCAGATCCAGTCCTCCCATTCTGGAGTGTTGGCCCCACTTTCCCAGGGCCCCGGGTCAGGCCCAGGGCAGGGCCAAATAACAGGTTGTGCCAGCAGACTGCGCCCGCCACTCCAGGTTTCTGTTTACTTCCCTGCTCGCCCCTGGGGACGGGAGCCTGGTGGCGCTCTCCTAGGGCTGCTTAGGACCCAGCCATTCAGGGGCTCAGAAGGAGGAGACACACCAGACTTCGCTGGCACCCTCCCCACCTCCAGCCCTCTGGAGGTCCCCCCACCCCTTACACACACATGCACACACGCACGCACACACACACCTGTCCCTTCCTCCTGAGGTGTCCAAGCCCAGCCCTATCCGCAGGACCCAGTTGTCGCGGTTGTCCCAGCACAGCGGGGACCCAGAGTCTTCCTGAGGTGGCCCCTGTGGGCCCCTGTGGGCCCGACCCCGCACTAGAGACCCGGGGGCGCCCCTCCTCCTCCTCCTCTCGCTTCCTCGCACCTCCTCGCACTGAGCTGCTGTTTAGGACCTCGACCCAGGCGTCTGGGTCCCCAGCCCCTCGACCCCCCGGCCCCAGGCGTCCGAAGCTCAGCGACCCCCTACTTTCCTGCCCGTGCCCCCCGCTTGCCGGCCCCAGGAGTCAGGCCCGACCACCCTCCCCCCGGCGCCCGCTCGCCCCGACTCTGTCCTGCCCGAAGTTCCAACGGCCCCTGTCCTCGGGCGCCCCCCAGGTTCTCACCCACCGACGCCGGCCGGGCTCCCTCCAAGGTCCCCGCGGTCCCCGATCCCCTCTTCCGGAGGCGGCACCAGGTGCCCGGCCGGCGCAGGTGAGGGGGCGGTGCCGCGGGCGGGACTGGGGCGCCCCCTGGCGGCCGGAATGGCCCGGCGGGGCTGAAGAAAAGTCGCCTCCACCCAGCTCTGCGGCACCGACCCATCTTGGGGCCGTCAGAAACCATGGGCCCCATTAATTGAGCACCTGTGGGGTGCAGGTGACGCTGAGCACAGACGTCAGCTCCTTTCCCCTCACAACTGCCCTGTGGGATAGGACATTACTGAGAATGACAACAAGGACAAATATAACATATTAAGCACTCTGCTAAGTAAGTTCTTTTATGGGCACAAGTAGTTTCCTTTTATGACATCCTAAGGAAGCAGGAACTGCTATTATCCTATTTTACAGATGAGGAAGCTGAGGCTGAGGGGGGACCCCTAAGTCGCTTGGGCTACACGGACAGAACTTGAATGTGAACCTCAGAAGTGTGACTTGAGGGTGTGTGCTAACTCCCGTACTGAGACCTCAGCGTGTGTGCCTCTGAACTCAGGGCTCTCAGTTTCGAGGTGGCACGAGGCTGGACCCCATGCTCCAGTCCGAGGACAGAGGACTCGGTGTGGAGACCAGGAGGATCCAGGGCCGGGTCCAGCCCAAGGCAGCCTGGGCATGCGGGGGATGAGTCCCTCCAGACTCCCAGGGCTCCCTGGCCCGCGGTCCGGCGCCTCCTGGCCTGGGGGGCAGGGACAAAGGGAGAGCTGGAACAGTTGGTGTGCCGGTAGCTCTTCCACAACAGGCTTTCTGGGGAAAAAGAAAGCCCCAATTTGTTGACTTGGCAGTTTCTGAGGTACTGTGCTCCCTGCCTGGCTGATTTCAAGCTACCGAGGACATTACTGAATGTGAAGTTGGGCAGAGATGTGCGCTATTGGCGTTTGTCAGCTGGGGGCACCTGGCTGGCTGTCGGGACTCCTGAGTCTTGGGGGACTGGGGCCTAGCTGCCTGGGTTCTAGAGGAATAAGGGAGATGGGAGCTGGACCTCCTGACTTGTGGGAAAACGGGTGCAAGGACTCGTTGGAGGGGTGGTTTAGGGGCTGGGACTGCTGGGTCGCAGGAGGGCTGGGAGAAGGTTTCCCGCCAACGCAAAGGAGGGGTGCCCATTTCCTTTGCAAAGAGGTCTGAGGGCTGCATGTGAGGCCTAGTGAGGCCACCATTGCTTTGCCACAGCACTGTGACGACAGCCTGGTGGACTTTGGAGATGCCTCAGTCTCCCCTTGGTGCCACCACCTGACCCCTCCAAATGCCAGGGTCACCCTGAGCCCCACCCACACCCATACTTAGCACACATTCCCTGAGCCCCCTTTCTGCCAGGCAGGGGGCTGGACTCACCTGGGGATGAAGTGGTCAAGGCCTTCCTCCCAGGACGTTCGAAGCTCCACCCAGCAGCTGGGAGGGGGCATAGACCTATAAACCAGAAACGAACCCATAAAGCAATACAGCACAGGAGCTTGGCTCATGGACACTGGCGTCAATGGCTTCAGGCCAAATCCCAGTTTGGCCATATGTTAGCTGGGCGCGCCTGGGTCATTTAGCTCATTAACCTCTGCAGCCCTCACTTTCCCTGTCAGTTGCTAGCTTAGAGGGTTGTGGGGCTTAAGGAAGGGTCAAGTCCTGCTGGTGGCCCTCAGCAGGGCCATAGCAAGGCTGCAGAGGTGACTCACCACCCACGTTCCAGTGTATCTCCTCCTCACCGCCACCCTGTGAGGTCATACCATTCTCGGACCCAAAACCAGCTCAGGGATGCCCAGTGATCCGCCTGTGCCTGCAATGGGAGGCCCCTCAGCCCAGTTTGCCTGGCACCCAGTCCCAGTCACTCTTTGGATGTTTGAATCAGCGCCCTGCCTCATCTGGACCCAGGAATTCTGGCCTCCAGCTGCCCAGCCCCTTCCCTGCCCCTCGGCTCCCCTCCCCCAGCCTCCTCGCTGATTCCAGGAGGAAAATGGATCAGAGGGGCAGAGTGGCCCCAGGGAGGCTGGGACATAGCCAGCGAAGGGAGGGGAAGATCAGCCAGCCCTTACACGTTCTCTAGCCAGCCTGCTGTCGGGAGCCTCCAGGCCCATGCTCACCCTAGAACGCTCTCCCCCACCTTCCCCAAAGCCTGTTGGGCTCCTGCTATGCCAAGTCTTGGCTCCAAGGTCTGCTCCCTGGGGAAGACTCCACAGACCTCACAGAGCCGTGGGCAGTCGATGCTGGCATCCAGAGGCCAGCAGATGCCCCCTGCCATAGAGGCAACCCCGTGGGAATGGCGCAGGTCCAGACCAAGGGGCCTGCAGGCTTTTACGACATAGACAAAGTCTATGAACAATAAGTAGTATTGTTGGGAGCACTTTAAACCTCTATATAAAATAGTTCACACTGAATGCGTTGTTCTGCAGCTTGCTTTTTCCTTTTAACCTGATGTTTCCAAGTTTCTTCCCATCTAAAAAAACCCACACAAAATAAAAAACTCAGCTTTATGGAAGTAGGTATTTGTTTCTTAAGTCTGCTGTAATCAATTACTACAAACTGGGTGGTTTAAGCAACAACGATTTATTGTCTCATAGTTCCAGAGGCCAAAAGTCCAAAATCAAAGTGGGGGCAGGGTTGGTTCCTTTTAGAGGCTCTGAGGATGAATTCTATTCCGTGCCTCTCTCCTAGCATCCGGTGGCTGCCAGAGACCCTGGATGTTCCTTGGCTAGGAAGAGTACCTCTCCAACCTCTGCCTGCCTCTTCACATGGCCTCCCCCTCTGGGTCTTCTCTGTGACCCTGGGTCTCAGATCTCTCTCTACTTTCTCTTATAAGGACACTATTCATTGATGTAGAGCCCATCCTAAGTCCAGGATGGTCTCATTGTGAGATCTTTAACTTACAACTGCAAAAATTCTATTTCCAAATAACAGAACATTCTCAGGGACTGGAAATTGGGACTCGGACATCTGTTTTTTGGAGACACAATTCAACCCACTACAAGGAATAATTATTTATTTATTTATTTATATTTTTTTGGAGAGAGAGAGCGTGCGAGCAGGGGAGGGAGGGGCAGCAGGATAGGGAGAGAGAGAATCCCAAGCAGATTCCCCCCTGAGCACTGAGCACGGAGCCCGACACCGGGCTCAGTCTCACGATCCTGAGATCATGACCTGGGCTGAAATCAAGAGTGGGACACTCGGGCACCTGGGTGGCTTAGTTGTTAAGCGTCTGCCTTCAGCTCAGGTCATGATCCCAGGGTCCTGGGATTGAGTCCCACATCGATCTCCCTGCTCGGCGGGAAGCCTGCCTCTCCCTCTCCCACTCCCCCTGCTTGTGTTCCTGCTTTCGCTATCTCTGTCTCTGACAAATAAATAAATAAAATCTTAAAAAAAAAAAAAAAAGAAGAGTGGGACATTCAACTGACTGAGCCACCCAGGTGCCCCAGGAATAATTTTTATATAATAAAACTCACCAAGTTTAGTGTTTCATTTGATGAGTTTTTAACAAATATATGTGGTGGTGTAACTCCTCCCACAATCATGGTAGAGAGCACTTTCTTCATCCCCAGAGTGCCCCAAGCCCCTTTGCTCTCTCAGGCTCTCTCCCGTATCTTGTCCCCAGCGACCACTGATCCGCTTTCTGTCACTATCATTTAGTCTTTTCCAGAATGCTCTCTAAATGGAATAATGTATGGTGTATGGTCTTTTGCGCCTGGCTTCTTTGACTTAGCATAATGCTTCTGAGATCCATCCATGTTCTACGTATCAGTGGAATCAATCATTTTGAAAAATTTCAAACCTCAAGAAAAGTTGCAGGAATAATATAATGAATACCCTCCATGTAGGCTCACAATTGTGAACATTTTGCCACATATGCTTTATCTCTCTCTTACACAGCACATACCCGCACACATTTTGCTAAACCATTGACTACCTCAGCTGGCATCTCCTGAGGGCACAGATATTCTATGTAATCATGTACCATTATCACATGTGACAAACTGAACAGTGATAAAAAAGATACAATAACCTTACCCAGTATACAGCCCATGTTCTAATGTTCCCGGTAATGCCCTTTTTAGACGATGTTTTCTTTGATCCAGGATGAAATCAAGGACCACATTTAGCTGTCATTTCTCTCAAGTCTCCTTTAATCTAAAATAGTCCATTGGGGCTCCTGGGTGGCTCAGTTGGTTAAGCGCCCAACTCTTGATTTTGGCTCAGGTCACGAGCTCAGGATCATGAGATAGAGCCCTCCCTCCCCCCGTTGTGGGCTCTGCACTCAGGGGGAGTCTGCTTCTCTCCCTCTCCCTCTGCCCCTTCCCCTGCTCGTGTTCTTGCTCTCTCTCTCAAATAAATAAATAAACCTTTTAAAAAATAAAATAAGATAGTCTGCTTGTTGGGGCACCTGGCTAGCTCAGTTTATAGAGTATGCAACTCTTGATCTTATAGTCATGGGTTCAAGCCTATGTTGGGTGTAGAGCCTACTTACAAAAAATAGTAGAAATAGTCTGCTTGTCTTTTTATGTGTCTTTCAGGACATTGATTTTTCTTTTTTAAGGACTCTGTGGGGCACCTAGCTGGCTCAGTCAGTGGAGCGTATGACTCTTGATCTTGGGGTTGTGAGTTTGAGCCCCATGTTGGATATAGAGATTACTTAAAAATGAAAACATCTTTTTAAAAAAGGACTCCAGGCAGCTGTTTTCCAGAATGTTTCTGAGATTTATCCCTAAAGATGCATTTGGAT